AAAATTAAAAACATGTTCAGTGTTAAAGATCGTACTCCTGATGCTCTAAAATCCATGGTAGTTTATCAATTTTCTTGTGCGGGATGTAATTCCCGTTATATTGGCGAAACTAGTCGCCACTTCTCTACTAGGATAAAGGAGCACACGGAAAGCGATAAAAACTCGCATATTTTTAAGCATTTCAACACATCTCCTTCTTGTAAGAACAAATACTCCCTTTCTTGCTTTAGTATTCTGGATTCTGCTAACAACTCAATTGATTTAAAACTCAAAGAAGCTTTTTATATAAATAAGATCAAACCTGAACTTTACAAACAATTACAACATTATAACACTTTTCTAGCATTTTAGTTCACACCTTTGATGTTTGGTGTCACATTGTAATTAGTACCCGCTTTTGTATTACATCATACTGTAAATATTTTATTCATCTACTTGTCTGTTATATAATTAATCACGTTCTGTTACTCATTGATTGAAGATGGCATAAGCATGCCGAAACGTGTCTCTCAAAAAAGTTGTCTATTTTCTTACAATATTTATCATACTTGCTACTACTACGACCTTATGGATATATATATATGTCTTAAATTTCCTTAAATAGTTTCATTCAATTCTTTTTAAAAGCACAAAACGAGGTAGCATTTCTAATGGATATTGGAATCTCGTTCCATGCCTTGGCTCCCCGAAAACTGAAAGATCGTTGCCCCGTGGCAAGGCAACATTTGATCAAGTCCAAGTCATCACTTTACTCTCACAGTGCCTCTCTCTCTCTCTCTACCCAGGAGTACAAATGTGTCCTGCCAAATTGCCAGGGAAGCCTGATGAAAATCTGAAGGGTTACCTTGCAAGAGACTCACATCCCATTAAGGGGGGTGGGGTGGGGGTTAGTGAGTGATACTCCTGATTGCTCTTCATGCTATGGAAACCAGTATAAACTCCGCCTGTATGGGCCACTTGGTTTGAGGACAGACTTTAGCTAATGATGATTGATATTAAAAAGATATCAATTAATCATTATTTAATTAATTGTCCTCAAGAAGGGTTATTCTAACTTACAGTGGCTATTGGGTGTATATTTATAAGTATGTGGTTTTATCACTAGAATTGAAAAGCGATCATTTATTCCTAGAACCTGGCAGGGAAGGCTCACCAGAGGCAAAAAAAAATTTCCTGAAGTACGAGTTTCCATTCTCTAGTTACAAAAGTGTTGGCACTTTCACACTTGCTGGTCTCGCAGATGGCACAGTACCCCAAGAGATTGGAAAGATTGTGGAAATGAGAATACGTGTATTGGGTCATAACAGTTTGAACTGGATAATGTTAAGTGAGGTAACGAGGAGCTTTCAGTCTTACCTGATATTAAACTTTTAACTAGTGAATGGAAATTATTTGATTGCTCCAGAGAAGTGAATTATTAGGTGAAATACAAGTGCAGCAAATGGCAAGAACTGTTTTGTGCATTTAAATACAAAAATATTAAGTTATTTGCATTTTGTTGTGAAGGGAAGATATTCCAGTTTTATCTGAAATCCCTTGAAGGATTTTAAGAAAAGCGAGTAAGATCAGGGGGAGGTGAATTGTGTTTACTGTATCATAATGGTTATTTGGAACACAAGCAGTAGTCTGTGGCTGACTAGCAGGCCCTCACTTTTAGTGCTTCAGTAGATATGTTTGTTTTGCCTACGATAAAGTATGATAGCTTGAGGATTGTGAGCAATATGAGCCAGCAGGAGGCCTGCGGGGGGTAGAGTGCCAGATCACCCACAAACTTCTCCTCAACTCATCTCACAAGTGTTTCTTTTGCCTGTGGGGAAGTATTAAGCATCTTGGAACTTGAGCAATGTAAGATGGCAAGAACTCTTCAACGGGTTGAGTGTCAGACCAGCTGCAAACCCTCTCCTCAACTTGTCTCAAATCTTCCCACAGGTGAAAAAACACTCATCCTTGGAGTTAATAATGAGTACAGAAGTGGAGAAGAATAATCTTAAGTTATTGTATTGAATTTCATCGTGATTATGGTCACTCTTTTTTTCTCTTTAGATACACATTGTTCCAAAAGGTGCCAGATGACAAAGGTGAAGATGCATCTGTAGGGATGGATGTACATGACACTTTATTTTTGTCATAAATTTACCAGTTTAAATTTTAAAATTATATTTCAAAGAGGGTTTTTGAAAGCAATATGAGACTCCCAGAATCTAAAGGGAGCTATCACTCAAAATAAATTTCAAAGTTTCCATAAAAGCAGCCAGATGGCTCAGCAAAACATTGGCGTTATTAATACAGCTATGTGAAATTTTTTTAAGTATGGGTGCACCAATGAAGCCTGTTTTGAAAGGTAATTAGGTTGTATTATTTATATTGAGAGACTGAGAGTGTCTTTTCACTTATCAGGGAAGGGAACAGGAGACATACTGTAAGATTCTTGAGTAATAAGAAAATAATAATTGTTGTTGTTTTGTTGGTATTGTCATCCATGTGGCTGTCCTCTGATAGATCATGCATAAGAGCTAATCATGCTTATTCATAGTTTTGACAGGATCATATTAAGTAACTGAGTGTGGTGAAGCATCTGTCCTATGCTTCTGTTTTTACTGGTTCTGACTCATCCTTCGACTCCCACATTGGTGAAAACCAGCTTTTAAGTATCAGAGATCCAAGAGTTCTCTGGCTAAAATTTTGTGGTTGAAGCAATCATCCCTAAGAGCCTAAACTTGGAAATGATATCATACTGCCCTGGAAAATTAAAGTTTTTCATTTGGTACTGTTGCCATTGGATAGGGTTTTGCAAATATCTTTTCATCAATAAATTCACTAATTTGTTTCCTTATTATTAATTTTGCTGCTAAAAAAAAGTAGGCAAAAGACTTTAAAAACATTATTGCGAGATTTTGACTATTGGATTTTCTATTGTTAGCTAGGTTGTGGTTAGGGTTTGCCCTGTTCAATTTTCATCTCTCAGTTTTTTTGTACCATGTTTCACAAAGCTCTAAAGGGTGGTAATGTCACATTTTCACTTTTGTGTTACCATGCATTCATGTGAAGTTTGTTTTACTGTATTTTGTCTGACTTAAATTGTTTCCACTAGTCAAAGATGTTTTTTAGATTGTAAATGAAATTTTTTTTGCAGATTGTAGATGAAGATTTGTAGCTTATTAATGATATAGCAACCCTTCTCTAATAGAGAAACTAGAAGTTTGTCAAATTTAATATTAATATTTGATATTGTGCATTGGAAAATTGTTACTTTTTGCCAACTGATTCCACAGAACTGTTCGATTTAAAAAAATGTTTTCAAATTTAAACATGCTCAGTACATGTATAACTTACATTGCAACATGTTATTTTGGGTTGACAAAGTACATACTATTCTATACATACTATTCTATTTCAAAGTACATACCTGACAAAGTACATACTATTCTATAAATAAACAGTAGATTCCTAATAGTTCCAACTTTTTTCCAACTTAATATCAAGCAACTTCCCAGCTTGTTCTTCCATTGTCTCAAGCTGTATTAAGGTTTCTTATGTCAGTCAAGTCAGTATGGGTTTTTAATAGATTTTTAAGTTGTGGTAAAATGTGGTTGTACCAACTTTATATGTACCACTACAGTAGATTTCTAGAAGTTTAGGCAGAGGCAGCGTAAAGTTATGCTGGGTTTAGTCAAAATATTTCATTATTTGTTATAATAAATAACATATCTCTCAGTCAGTACATGTGCCATGATAAATTTAGTGGGCCACATTTCACTGAAACCTTCTCCCGCTATTGAACCCAGAGATGAATTAAATATCTCCCTTAACCTTGAACTGTAAGTTACGGCGCAATCTGACCCCCCTAAAAACTTGGTGCATTCACCGAATCAAAATATGGCGTTGGTGCTGCGCGTTTGTGACGTCACGAAATTTTGACCCCCTAGAGCGATTAGGACAAACAAACAGGCTTCTCGAGTAAATGAATATGGGCGATGATGAGCCCATCTCTAGTTCAAACGCCTCTAAAGCTCGTATTCTAAATCAAATCGACGGTGTTTCTGGCTCAAAGTTCGAGCAAGACCAAGAGAACTATACAAACACACAATTGAAGCGTTGGTTAAAGTGTAGAGGTTTGAAATTAAGCGGAAAACGAACAGACCTCATCGCACGTGTTCGTGACTGCCTCAAGTCGGGAAAACATGCACTTGATTTAAGAATAGATGATGGGAAATGGCTTCAGGCGAAGATACTAAAGGAACGTAAAGTCGATCGCGTGAAACTTAAGGATCTAACAGTTCAATGTAAAGAATTTGGCCCTCACGAGTATGTCTGAGCGATCGCCCTCTTTTTTAAGACACGAGTGGCGGATTTTCAGTTTGTGTAGTTCGCTCAGTACTGGTTGTGTTTCTATTAAATTCCAGTGTCTCATGAGAATTTGCTTTAGGTTTGGCACTGATGGTTGGTATTGTTTTATAAAAGGCAAGATTCGTTGGTTCGTCTTCGGTTTCTGTTGAAGAGCTAGTTTCATGTTTTTTGAAATTCACCTCTGAGAGGGTTGTGTTAATGAGGCCTTCTGGGTAGCCTCTCCTTTCATTAAGCCTTTCTTAACGCCTTGTGGGTGACAGGAACTATAGTGCGTATACTGAAATGTCTCAGTTTGTTTAAAATGAGTACGCACATCAAGGATTTCGTCCTTTTCGAATCGTTCGCCTTTATAGATGTAGGTGTCCAGGAATGATGTTTCCTTATCGGAAATTTCAGCCGCAAATTTTATTGTTGGATGATGATTGTTTGCTTGTTCAATGAAACGTTCTATTCTTGCTTTGTTTGTACTCCATAGCGAGAAGATGTCGTCTATAACGTTTCCAAACAAGCGGTTCCTCAACTGAGAAATTATTTCTAGAACACGCATTTACCCGGCGTTGACAAAGTTCCAAGTCATACTTTGGCTTTGGGAACGGTATCAAGGCTTTCCGACCGTTTGTAAGCATTTCTGATCTGGCAATCTTTCTGGATATCTTAAGTCTTTTTTACATGTACCCCAACAGCAATGCTTAGTTGCAACCATTTTAGAAAGTTAGAGCATTTTTTGAGCGAAAATAGTCTTGCTTCTGACACGTTTCGCATACAAGTCTTTGTAAAGAGTCGAGTGTTTGTCCTAAACCAGCGGGGGCTCCAAAGAGGACATATCTACTTTTATTAAAAACTGGATCATTGAATAGTGCAATTCAAGACTTTTCATTAGCTTAGCCATTATGGTATATCAGCCAATATCCCATAAACTACGATATGGTAAGCGTACGCTTAAGCTTAAAATTAAAAGAGAGCTAAAAATTTAATAAAATTTAATAATTTAATGCAGCGTTTTATATGAGATGATTATAGCCAACTCGGCGCTACGCGCCTCGTTGGCTATCTATCATCTCATATCCAACGCACGCTCGTGGAATAATTGTTAATTAGACCTGGCGCGCAGCGCTGAACTACCATTGTTTTGGACGTTCTAGCCTCGTTTTCACGTGGAAACACAAAAGGATTATCACATGTGTGAGAGGCTAGTGAGTCCAGAATAATGGCAACTCAAATTGGACGCCATATTTCGATTCGGTGTAGGTGTACAACTTACAGAATGGACCTCAAACTTGGTTTGAAAAGGCTATGCACATTTTGTGATAATAATTCTCATTTATTAATTTATAAAATATGAAATGTTACAAAATCACTATCACTATTGATAATAAATATTCAATCTTATGTGACAAGTTTAGTTCAAACACTTGTGTCAACAAATATTTAATATATAGTAATTGTTCAATCATTATGTTCATTTTGTGATCTTTTTGGTTGAGGGGAGTTTTCTTTACGCTTAAAGACTGGGAAATTCTTTTAACGATCCACCCACACTTTGTGTTAGTGAATATATGCATCTTATTATTAAAAACTGGATCATTGGATAATGCATATCATGCAATTCAAGACTTTTTATTTGCTTAGCCATTATGGTATATGAGCCATTATAACCCACCCATTCATTTTGGCGTGGAGGCGCGGTGGCTTCATGGTTAGTGCGCTCGACTCCGATCGAGTGGTCCGCTCGACCGGTTTCGTGCCCCGGCCGGGACATTGTGTTGCGTCCTTTGGCAAGACACTTTACTCTCACAGGGCCTCTCTTCACTCAGGTGTATAAATGGGTACCGGCAATTTAATGCTGGGGGTAACCCTGATATGGACTGGCATCCCATCCAGGGGGGAGTAGAAACACTCCTAGTCGCTTCATGCTACAGAAACCGGAGTTAAGCACCGGCCTAATGGGCCACTAGGCTCGTAAACAGACTTTACCTTATTAATTTTGGCGCGATTTTATTGGTTACTTAACGTCACGTGGTGATAAATCACAGGACAGTTATCACGCAATAACCCCCGTCCGCGTCGATATTTGT